CTCATCAGTCTTTGTTCACTTTACAATAAAAAAGAAATAAATAAACAAACAGTTTTGGAAACTTCGGTTTTCATTCTTTTCCTGCTTTGTGTATCAACTTTCGCGGTTGCTAAGCAACAGACCTTACCGCGTTAAAACCCGCTGAAGGGTAGACCTGGTCGAATTCACAGCCAAAACTCTTCCGGTCTCCTTATTTTCACGGACTTCAAAGGATCCAGTCTAAGTAGACCGCGTCCTTGGAGGATGCAGCCCAGGATTTCGAACAGAGCCCCATTGTTGTTTTTGAGCGCGGGTGAAAAACTCAGAGTGGAATCACTGTTGGTTTTTGGGTCGTGTAGTTTTTTTTGACTCGCATTATAGTGTAGGCTTAAAGGAAAAAAACTACGAAATGGCGGCGCCGCGCCAGTACTGGATCTTTTTTCTTTCTATTTTTTTTTTATTTTTTGGCATTGATCCTAGTTTTTTTTTTTGTTATTATCGGTTTGCTCCCGCTCCCGTCTGCTCCCGTTAATGTTTAATCCTGTACCGTCCCAATCACATGATCGTTACTAATACTGACTCCCATCCCACGGGAATCCCGTGACCCATGGGATTCCCGAAAAAATGTCAGTCTCTACTATATAGTGGACTTTATAGCAAAGTCAGATAAATGACCATTCAGACAGATGATCAGTGCTATTTGCTCCGTTGGTCACATAACTCCACTGTGCAGTGCCTGCACCACCTTTGTTATTAGTCACCGTTGTTGGGTGGCGACAGCCTATGGCGACAGCTGGCCGCTGTGACAGCAAATCCCATAATGCTTTGCGAGGAGAGCTCTCCACTCAAAGCATTCTTCTGAGGCCTTTCTTTTCTTCTCATACACTTCGTAGACACTTTTTCTCTTATGACCCTCGGCCATTTTCAAAGAACCCCGGTGAGAAAGGTGAGCTTCAATGACTTTCTGAAACTGTAGCTCACTACAGATATATGCCTGAAAGTGCGCATGCACAGCAAACGATAGCTAACGGGACAAGCTCATTGGACGGCCTTAGGTAAACATGTCACCAGAATGATTGACAATTAGGCGGACCAATTATTTAGATGATTCACCGAGAATACGGGGGATAGGCACCGGCCCTGCCTCAATCCTGAGGAAATAAGTGGGAGCATTTGGATGGATTTATTGAAATGCAATTTCAAACAAATGCATTTCATTTCCAATGACATCAATATTCATTTACAGTGGTTCAAATTCAGCTCCTGGTGACACGACTTTGTGCCCATAACAATGGCTGAGTATGAGAGCAACAGAGGAAAAATTGCCTTTAACAGAAAACTTTGCACATGTATGTAATACATTCAGCACAACTTTCATTCAAAATATAGGAATTTATTATTCAACTCCATAGTAAACATATTCAGGTTAGAAGACATTCAACTAGCATTCAATCGGATGTTGGATGTTCAAGATCATCTGCCTGGCTGTGTGTTTCCTGGTCAGGAAGCTGATTTACCGTTGCCTTTTGTATCCCTCCTTCTTTTTGTATCTCTGCTTCTGTCTCCTTGAACCCCAGTCGGCCTCAGCAGATGGCCGCTCACACTGAGCCTGGTTCTGCTGGAGGTTTCTTCCTGTTAAAGGGGAGTTTTTCCTCTCCACTGTCGCTACAAGCATGCTTAGTGTGAGGGATTGCCTTTGAGTCAATAAGTCGATGCAACTGGTTTTCCTTAGATAGAAAACTTTGAATCAATTTGACTGTATGATCTGTAAAGTGCCTTGAGATGACATGTGTTGTGAATTGGGGTTATATAAATAAACTGAACTGAATCGGGAGGAGGCCCCGGGGAAGACCCAGGACAGGCTGGAGAGACTATGTTTCTCGGCTGGCTTGGGAACGCCTTGGGGTTCCTTCTGAAGAGCTGGAAGAAGTGGCTGGGGAGAGGGAAGTCTGGGCCTCCCTTCTTAAGCTGCTGCCCCCCGCGACCCGACCCCGGATAAGCGGAGGAAGATGGATGGATGAATCGAATCTGAGCTAGTGAAACTCGGGTGAACTAATAAGATGTTAGGTACAGCTAGAAGAAATTAGGAAAAAACGGGAAATGGCTGAAACCATTACCAATGAAATCATACAATGATATCACAGTTAAGTATGGCTTTAATGTTTGTGAACCAAAGTTTACCTTGAAGATTTTGAAATAAGGTTAGATTATCTTAAAAAAAGTGCAGTGTGTTCCTTTACAATGCAAATCAAAGAGGTTGATAAAACTTGTTAAAGAATGATATACCTGTTCAGAAACCTTATTCACAGTATCCCCCACCCTGCACAGATTTATAACCTTTGATGAATCAGCATTTAGAGGATGCCTATGGTCTTGTTTTTCTTAAATAAAAGATATAATTCTCCCTGATGATCAGATTATGTTACAATATTTTCAATATCACATGCCTGTCACAATAAGCTTTAATTATTACAAAAATATAAAAGATCTTAAACTTTTTCCAAAATTAGCATCGGATTTAAAAAAGAATATCAAGCATGGTAACGCTGCTTATCTACCTCTCCAGTTTACAGCCATTCTAATGTATTTTTCTGTCATTTTTTAGGTGTTATTTTATAATTTGTTATCATTTTAGGTATTTATTGTCATAGTTTAGGCTTAAATCATTAAAGCTAGTGTGTAATTTTCAGTAACATCTAATGGTCAGACTGTAGAGACATGAATTATGGAGCTCTTTCAGCCGCTGTCCTTACACTGAATTCCTTCTGCTGCTGCCTACACTCAGGAACTTTGTCTTCCCTTAACTTTTTTGTCCAGGTGATTTGTCCCCCTGTTTTTGGCACTCTGACCAAAACATACAAGGACAGAACATAGGAGAAAGATGCAAATCCACAGAAAAAAAAAAAATGCAACAACCGGTACTTGGAGTTGTCATCTTGTCATCGGTTGTCAATTGTGACTTCATACATAATTTTATGAATAGTATTTTATAGGTCTGTGTAGGTTTGTACTACTTGCCGCAGTCCCATTTGAGCAGGGGTCTTCAACCCGCCCTTGGATTATTAGAGTATTTAGATTAGTATTTAGATTCTAATTCCTTATTGATGGGACAGGTGTTGTGAATGAAACGGTGCCCAGCTTGAAAGAGCTCCTGTGTGTTGCATCAAAGACTGAAAGACACCTTTTGCCTCCGTTTATCTGTTTACTTCAGTGTGTTGAATTCATGTTAATGTGTATTTAAAGACATTTCAATCAGTGTTGCAGGGGGGCGTAGAACAATAAAAAGTCTAATTAACCAAAACTTTCTCAACCCCCATGCAGTTCCTCCGCAGACACCTGGTTGAAAACCTCCGCATTAGAGCGTAATTACGATCTTTATAGTCACTAGTTTGTCAGTTTTGCGCTGCTGTAGCGCAAATGATGTCTGCCTCCAAAAATGGGAACCGACTCCTATGTTAGCCTCGTGAGACCATCCTGATCTCGCGAGCTTTCAAGGTTTCACTCGCAGATCAGTCTGGCTACTTTCCGTTAAAGAAAATTTGGAGATGTTCACCAAACGAACATCCAATCAGCGTTGGCTTTGAGGCGGGTTGAGGTGTGACGCAACGAGAAGCGCGACAGTTCAGTCTAAAGAACATGGCGGCTTCAGCCGATGAAACTAGCATTAGCGTGGCTATCGAGCAAGTTTTATCGGAATTACAGAGTATTTCTTCAAGGAAGAGGAAAACACTCTGGAGGCTTTTCTCAGAGGAAAAGATTTTTTTGCTCTTCTCCCAACTGGTTTCGGTTTCGTTGATCTGATTGGTTTATTTGGCCCGTCTATCACCAACATAGGCCAATCAGCTAACCAGTATTTTCGCCCCTTCCCAAAATTACTTCAACGGAAGGTTTCTAGATGGATATGCGGAGCAAATCCATCTGGCGGAGTCAGGTTACTCCTATGTAATTATTAAAAGCAATTTCTAAGGCTAGGCAGGCATAAAGATTGAGACTTTCAGTCCATAGGTGGTAATAAATAACATACATATATATTATATTTATGTCAGTATATCTCTGTAGGTATTACACACTTTATGTACCTTTAAAGATCAAAACGCACGGTAAAACATCAGGTTCAATGCACAGTAAGTTTAAATAACTGAATATTTCACTTTATTTGGGCACATTTCTTTTTATTTCACCTAATAATTTTTAGTTGAAAATGTTTGCATGGGTTTCCGCACACTTTTTTCAAAGTTGGTTTTTATACATACCAAGTTGTGATTAAATTGAAATACCTTTACTGTACCATAAAAGGAAAATTCTGGCATGACGGTGGCAACAACAGGTAGAGAAAAGACACCTGGCTAGATTAAATAATATGAATACAAAGCAATCTGAAAATTAAGCTGTAAAAAAGAAGAGTATTTAACCTTTGAGTGGAGGGAAAAAAGAAAAACATTGCACCATGAGTTTTGAGCATTGGCTGGCTTAGAGGCCTCAGACTATATCCAGATTGTGATCCCAAAACATTTTCCTACCCATGTGGTGAAGCTCCATAGTTCCATAGAGCTGTTTATTTTCACAGCCTCTGATGCAGAAGCCAGGCAGCCTGAAAAACCAGCTCTAGCTCTTCTACCTCTGATGTTGAGATAACGGCTAGAATGTAGATGGACCAGAAAATCAAGAGCTGAGTCCCTGGATTTTAGATTATAGTTATTTAAATTTCGGTTAAGCTGTGATGAGCAGTGATTCACCCTGAAGAGAGGGGTGTGATTCATAGGGAGACTGAATCACGTCTCAAGAGGAAAAAAAAACAAAAACATTCTTTTGATGAATAGGGCTTTGACTGAGGCTCTGCAGCCAAAGTCTAAAGAAAAACACCTTCAGAGATCTGGAGAGCTGCAGATCAAGCCTCAATAAACATTTTCTTGACGTTTGGCAGAGTAGAATGACAAAAGAAAGCAGTTTTTTTTTGTTTGCCTTATACCCCAGTTAGCCATTGTTAGTGTCTTTAACATTTTCGTTTTTGTCCTTTTCAGGAAGCCAGATGTACCCGTCACAGGCTCATCCCTTAGGACACCAAGCCCTGTGCCCTTAGTGTCCAAAACCAGCTTCAGCCATCTCTCCCCTTCCCCTCAAAGATCTGCCACCACCTCATCAGTCCAAGCATCTCCCTGTTCCTCACCGTTCCGGGTCATCCCGGTATCATGTCCCACCCCATTATCTCCAGCAGGCTTTACCTCTGCTCTTTCCTGTTTGTCCCCTACCCCTTCCTTGGTTTCCCCAGTAAGAACCCCAACTCCATCTGTTCCTTTATCTGGAAAACCTTCATCATCAAGAGAAGCATTTTCTTCCTCTACATCTCCATCGCCCCACCATTCTCCTAACGGTTCATCCACCATCTCCTCTGCTTTTACCCGATCCTTAGCTGCTTCCCACATCAGTCAGTCTATCAGTAACAATATGGCTAAAAACAGCACAGCACGACAACTAGCACCAACCATAAAGCTTGTGCATCAAAGCCCCTCCTCCACTCCAGATATACGACAACGGACACCCTCACCCAATCCTTCTCGAACTCTACAAGGCATCAGTGCGTCTGCCTATGCCCCTCTGGGATGTAACAAAGAGGGGTACCAACATCCAAAATGTCCCCCATCCTCTCTCCGACCCACTTGTCTATCCCCACCCTCTCTTTCTCAGTGCCCCCCTTCTCCTACAGCTTCACCTCGACCCTCCTTCCTTCACACAAGAACTGTGTCGCCAAAGCTCAGCAACAAAAACAACAACAACAGTGCAGCTAACGGGTATGTAGGCGGATCTGTCAGTAAGGAAGGCTGCTGGGTGGACCACGGCATTACGGAAACCCACCATAGTCACTACCCACTGTGGTCTGGATCTCACAACCGTGTAGCAAGGCCATTTTCTGCATCTGAACCCAGTTCACGTGTTCAGTCACCAACACCTTCTCCAACTCCAGCATCATTTGTCCGCCTCTGCTCCCCTCCACCACAGCATAATTACGCCTCTCCCATGGCAAACAAACCCCCCAACCCTCGTAGTTCACGGGTAGTAGGTTCCCACAACCACTTGGACCTCCATCTGGACCTAGCTAAGGCTTCCTCTGAAGCGTCTGCTTTTGGCGATTCCTCCGCATGTGTGAGTCCTCAAATACTCTCTCCTCCTCCTATTGGTGTGCCGGTTTGGACAAAAAGTTTAGTAGCGCCTCAACCGATGAATCCTCAATATTCCACCTCCCCTTCTTTACTTTTGTCCACTTTAGGCTCTCAAACTGACAGGATATCTTCTTCCCTCTCAGAGAGGACTCCCCTTTCAGGATCTTCCCCTCTTCCCTCTCAAACCATCCGTAGGCCCCTGTCTTCCAGCTTGGCAGACAGACCTTCAAGTCCAGCCCGGAGCAATGGGAGTGGACTGCGTCGTTCTTGGGCGGACTTTAGTCAAAAATCCCGTAGCTTTACTGCTAATGTGCGAGGATCCTTTGACCAGGAGGTGTCTAGTCCGATTAGCCCAGGTAGCGTCTTGTCCTCCCAATCAAGCCTTGGCCCTCGAGCTGGTCTGCAGTCCCCACTCTCCCCCACAACATTTATCCCTGGTAAGAACACAGTTAGTGGACAACATTTCACTAGTGTTTCTTGGCCTGACGTTCAAGAGCTGTCAGGCAAATACAATGGAATTGAAAGTCCAGAAACAAGTCCGACTCCAACTGCTTTGTCTCCATTACACTTCACCTCCTCATGTTCAGCAGACAACCAGGCTGAATGGGGGGATCCAGAACTGGAGGAGGGAAGCTGCCGCACTCAGCTAATCTGTGCTTATGTGGCCCGGCCATCTAACCAACAACAGGTCCCCTCCTCCTCATGTTTGATCTATTCCCCCACAGGGTTGACCTCCCCTCCACCTGAGTCATACCAGCACTACAACCTTAAAGTCCAGGTACAACCTCAGGTCACACCCTCACCCCCTGCTCCCTCAACACCGTCCCCTTTACCCCTGAGTTCATCTTCTGTGTCAAAACAGGGGAATCAGAAGGCTAGTTACGCCACTACTGTGAACCTCCAGATTGCTGGAAGTGGGCGAATAACCTCGTTCAGCACCGCCCAAGTCAGCTTGACTCAAACCCTGCAGGGTGGAGCTGGCCCTCATGGGAGCCAGGAGCAGACAGCAAGAAGAGTGAGCATCAACGGACTCTCGCCTGTTCCTCAGAGGTGCAACAGGCAGTGAAGGGATGAACGGCAGTCGAGGATCTAGACATGCTTAAACCAAACCGAGAAGGAAATGGTTTTAGCGAAACAAACACACTTATTCAAACTGCAAAGAGACAATCTTCATTAGCTGCTCGTTCAGACATTTTGGACCTGGTCCCCCTCTGGACCTCAGAACCGCTACGGGTCCACGAACCAACCAAACAAGCATGGTGCAATTTGACTGAAATAATTTTAAACATGATGAACATCAGACATTTGATGCAGATTTTTATGATTCTGGATTTCCGCAACATTGTGGATTAAAAATTCCCTTAAAGGATTTTACTTGCACATGGATCTCGTAGCTTTTGGATTTGCAAAGATGATCCAGATTATGTAGAAAATAGAAAGACAACCTAAAGCTGGACATGAAGAATTGAGATGCTATGAACAGTTTGAAAGTTCACTTTCTGCTGACTTCCTGCAGGTGAAATGAACGATTTAATGTTGTGAAAAGCTCTTGGCTCATGTTAGAGAGAAAGAGGACCTCTGGTATGGAGACGGGAGTGGTAAACCACAGTTTAGTGTTATTTTTATTCAGGCTGTTTGAGGCCAGAGTTTATTATGTGCTTTGCAATAACCTGTATCAGTTTAAATTGTGTTTATTTCTGTTTTTTATGTTTTATTTATGAATGTATCGTCATTTTTTTAGCACTTAATCTCCTTAAGTCATGCTGTTAGTTTTGCACAGCGTCCTCGGCTGCACACGGCAGTTTTGGGAAATGTTTGGAATTAATTTTGTTTCATTATGGTTAAAAAACAAAAAAGGAACACATTATGTAAATGAATATTTGAGAAAGAACAATCTAAATAAAAACAAATGCAATACCCAAATTAAACATTGAGAAAGGTTTTAATTTAAAAAAATATCTTGAGTATAACTTTGCTGGTTTTTTTGTTTTTTTTCCGAACAAAAATATTTGTAGTTTATCTTTTTCATATTTTTCGTTTTCAAATTAAAATATTTCAGATTTTATTTATTTATTTTTTATTTTTTTTTTTATTCAGATTGAGTTTTAAGAATTGCATTCCTTTCAAATTGTGTTTTACTCGTCTTAATTCCCTTTACTTTCAGGGGCGGGCTTTCCTATGAAGTTAGGAGCAACAACGCATTTCACAATATGGCAACAGCACTCAGACAAACTCTAAAAACAAAATCTCTTCTGCAGTTTCAACTTATTATTTACTATAAATGTTATTATGTTGTGTTCCTTTCGCAACCTAAGGTAGTCGAAAGTAGAAAGCAATCATTCTCAGTCTGGAAGGTGTTGTACAACTATAATTATAATAGTCGTACTGTCATGTATTCTTTATGAACACCCGCCCTACTGGATGTGTGTTAGAACAACAAATGAAGGTAGGAATTAAGCTACAGTTATGGTGAAACAGATAATTCTGCACGTAAATGGAATAACACATCCTACATTATAAGAGTTTATTAACAACTTCATACAAACACATTTCAGTAAAAAAAAAAATCTTAGATAAAGTGGTGAAACTTGATTAAATTATGATATTACATACAAAGAATGCAAAACATGATTTGAGGTCAGGGCCTTCACTGGTGGACTAAAATTAATCAGAAACACTGAGCTACTTTCATGATCTAACCTTTAATTACCTTTAATAATTAATAATTTATTCCAAACAATCCATTTATTATTTTTTCAGCCTCTGTGTCAAACAAATCTTCCCAGGGCTTTCAGAATCAGCGGTGCTGGCTGATGTTACCTTAACGATATTAGTGAGGAATGTTCATCAATCAATCAATCAGCCAATCAGATTTCAGATTTACCCCACTTGGCCAGCAAGAAGGTACACCCTAACATCACCCTGTTCTTTCCTGTGATTGGTCAGTTAGAGCAAACTGTTTTCAGCCAAGATACTAAGGCTGATACTAAATGGAGATACTAAGACTTCCTGCACAAAGAAAGAAGGATGGATTTTGTTTTTAAATAATCAGCATCCCTGGTGAGTGTGATATATATATTTATTTTCATGCTTTATGTGCTATTATTGGATGCATATTGTATCTAAGCGGATGTTGATCTCTGCATAGACATATACATAGACACCTCATTGGACGCTGGCCAATGTGCTTAGAGGGCGCCCATCTTGGATCAGACCCCAGTTCAGACAGCTGCTGTCAGAATGAATAGCACCCAGCCCAGATCTCATTTTAATAACATGAAATATGAGTCAGATATAATATTACAATAATCTCTTACCTGTCACAACAAATTAATTCTAAAATTACTATTACATTAGACAGAGATGGCAAAAGTACTCACTTTCCATACTTGAGTAAAAGTACAGATACTTGTGTTAAAAAATACTCTGGTAAAAGTGGAAGTACTGATTAAACTTCTTTACTCAAGTAAAAGTAACAAAGTACAGGCTTGTAAATTTACTTAAAGTATAAAAGTAAAAGTAGAAACCACTTTTTTCATGCCGTTGCCTACATTTTAAATGGATGTCTGCCAATAGGACTAGATCTCCGTTGTGTTTATTTTCAATCATCTCGTCGTCCATACTACTATGCTAACGCCACCGCCACCAAGCTGCAATGATTTGCTGCGAATGAATACCGTCGAATCTGTCGATTCATCTTGTAGTGGTGCGTCAAATGCAACGTAGATTCCCATCCAATTAGATTGAATTTGGTATTGATGACGTGAAAAATAATAACGGTAACTCCATTGAAATGATTCAAAACTAAAGTAACGAACCAATTTTTTTAAATGTAAGGAGTAGAAAGTACAGATATTTGTGTAAAAATGTAAGGAGTAGAAGTAAAAAAGTCGCCATAAAAATAAGTAGTAAAGTAAAGTAAAAATATCAGAAAAATCTACTTGAGTACAGTAACGAAGTATTTGTACTTCGTTACTTCCCATCTCTGACATTAGATGAAACACATTTATTCAGATTAAAAATGATTTGAACTCTAAATTATTTAAAACTGGATGAGATACATGCAAAGTTATATATTTTGAAATTAAATATTAATATGATAAACACAAAGTTTTATATCTTTATATTTTATATACAGTGAAATCCCCTCCAACTTCCAGCCACTGGAATGACCCCCTCTTGCATATTTTTTTTACTCTGACCCCACCCTTTCACTGAATTACAGGGTCTGACAAGGAGATGATTCTTCTCTTTAAATCTTAATGTCTACAAATCAAGACAGAAAGAATATTTTAGTATAAATATTGATATTTAAAAGGAATTGTAAGGGACGCGCCACGGACCCATCAAGGAAAGGGGGGAAATTTTGAATGACTACTACGGTATCAGCTATAGAGATAGCTCAGGATAACCTGAGCCACTCTAACTATAAGCTTCGTCATAAAAGAAAATTTTAATCCTTGTCCTAAAAGTAGCAGCCCAATAAGTAAAAGATCTGCCTCCCATTCTACTTTTATGAATTCTAGGAACCACTAGTAAACCTGCACATTGAGAGAAAGTGCTCTGTTAGGAAGTTCTAATTGTCATCAGAACTCTGGCTGTAGCATTTTGGATCAGCTGAAAGCTTTTAAATACAGTTTAAAGAATTACAGTAGTCCAGCCTCGAAGTAACAAATGCATGGACTGGTTCCTCAAAATTAACCCTGGGATCTAACAATTTTGGGATATTTCAAAATTTTGCAATATTCTGCAGATGAAAGAAGGAAATTCTAGAAACCTCTTTGATATTGGATTTAAAGGTCCTTATTGTAAATAACAACAAGATCCTGTTTTATCCTGTATTATCTGAGATCAGTCTCATCCCATCCAAATGAAGTGACTGATTAATCAGCTTCTTTGTCTAAGAGTCTGATTAGAGACTATTAATTATGTTTTGTCTGCATTCAGGAGCAGAAAGTTAAGAGTCATTGAGGTTTTTATGTCTTAAAGACATGCTTGTAATCTATGTAATGGGTTAGCTTCATCTGGATTCATAGACAGATATAACTGGGTATCATCAGCGTAGCAGTGGAAATTAATCCTATGCTCTCTAATAATTCTACCAATTTGGAGTATACAGGTAACCCTGGAGCATGAGGGTCAAATAATATTTATATACATAAATAAGATTTAAACCAGCCTAGGGCTTTTCCTTGAATTCCTATGTTTAAGACTGTCCAAAAGAATATTATAATCAACTGTGTCAAATGCAGCACTGAGATCTACCAGGACAAGTAAAGATACAAGTCCATTATCTGATGCCATGAGAATATCATTAGTGACTTTTACCAGAGCTGTTTCAGTGCTATGATGAGCTCTAAAACCCGATTGGAACTTAAAAAAAAAGTTAATTATGGTGTAAGAGGTTGCACACTTGTTTGGCAACTATTTTCTCAAGAATTTCAGATAAGGAAGGAAGATTAGATATAGGCCTATAATTAGGCCCGAGCAGCAAAGCGCTGCGAAGGCCTATTGTATTTCGAAAGTTTATTTTTGTAGCACTTTGAACGCATTTTACGGAGACTTCGCATATTCAAAAACTCAGGAAAACGTGGCAGTAAATTGTCCCCCGCGTGAAGTAGCCGGTTTATAATGGAATCCAAAATGGCCGCCCCCAAATTACGCCACAGCGTCCCCTAACGCGAGTTGGGGGAAACTGTAAGTCACAGAGATTTGAACTTTGGCACACAGGTAGATCTCATCAAATCATGAAAAAAAGTCTCTTGGAGGTATGCCCTAAAACCCACAGGAAGTTGGCCATTTTGGGTCAAAGTGTGATTTTTGGCCATTTTTCATTTTCGCTCATGTCGAACTTTAAGGAACTCCTCCTAGGGATTATGAGCTATCGGCTTCAAACTCGGTCATTATGCAGTTAAGGCATTGGAGATTAAAAGTTATCAAAGGTTTTCGTTTTTGAGCATGTTTAAGGGGTCCCCAGGGGCCCCGAAGTTAGGGTACTTTTGAAGAATTTCAAAGTGGAATAACTTTAACAAAAAAAGTTCAAATCAAACCAAGTTTGGCAGTGAGGAGCCCCTTTGGGTGCTTGACCATACTCGGTGGTCAAATGATGACATCATCTAAGTCCCGCCCCTTCAGGGAAGAAAGTCACTTTTTTCACTTGGGAGGGTCCCTTTCAGTCATTTTAAACACCAGTACCTTGAAACTTTGTCAGATGATAGAAAACATGTTGATCTAACTTCGTTTAAAGCACAAAGTCTTTGAGTTAAATGGCGTTGCCATGGTGACCTGGCAAAGTCAGGCGTTTCGCCGACTTCCTGTCTAAACCCCACAGGAAGTCGGCCATTTTGGATTAAAGTTCAAATTTTCACCGTAATTTTGCACTTTATAGCCTCTATATTTGAACGAACTCCTCCTACAGCTTTTGAGTCACAGGCTTCAAACTAACTCCATCTTGACTTGAGGCATTGGGGATTAAAAGTTATCAAAGGAATTTTTCTACATCAAAGCATGTGGGCGTGGCCAAGCGTCAAACTTGGTCATTAGGCAGGGAAACAAAGGGTAAGCCCCATGCCATGTTATGACTGAAGGTTCTGAAACTTGGACCACTTATGTAACCCCTCAGGACCTACAAAAAAGCCTCTTGGAGCCATGGTCCAAACCCCACAGGAAGTCGGCCATTTTGAATCAAATAA